CCCCCCCCCCCACTCCGGGCAACAGAAGCCAAGCCAAGCGACACGCTCGGCATACCTCGAACCTGCGACATCTTGTCCCAGCCAAGCTAGCCCCAGATGCCTCCCGCAAAGCCTCTCTCTACCACTCTGCTGTCTGCTAGCAGTCCGCGAGCCCGCTTTTTGGGCCCCGGACATGCCGCTATCCGGTCGCAACGGCGTATCGGCATTTGCAATCAACCATTTTTCCTCCCTCGTCGTTGCTTGTATCGTGTTATGGCATTGCCAATCCTTGACGGGTGGTGGGCTTCCACCGCCCTATTGCGGAGCATGACGTGTCCGGGTGTGCCCTTTTCCCTTTCTGTTTTGCCCTTGGTGTATTGGCACGAAGAAATGGATGGTGTGTTGGGGATGTGGGAGGATATGTATAAAGGAGGCGTGCCCGACCTCAGTTTTTGAAGCACATTCATTCTTTTCATATACTATGAGTAGCGCCCGTCTTTGTTTTTCTGGTCAAACGGCGAAGCTCTGGTGGATTGCCCTGCTTGCTAAGGAACCTCTGTCTCGCTACCTTTCTTGTCCTTCTTTCTTTGTCGACGAGGCGGACCGCTGGCTCGTTAACTTCTTATTGTCTCTCTTTTTTTTCTAGGCGAACCTCTGGTTCGTTGTTTTTCCCGTGGTTCACACGCAAACCACTGACTTTTCGGATTATTCATTTTTCCCGAGACCTGTTGCTTTTCGTTCTAGGCCGAATGACGTAGATTCTTGGTAATATCTGTTTTCGAGCATTCACCGAGTGCTCGTTGCACTCACTCACCTTCTTTTTTTGTAGTCGCCCAATGGGCATAAAAGGTAATTCCGGCACTATGTAGCGAGACACTAGCTGTCTCCAGCGTCTTGGCACACGTATTGTAAGATTGATGAGTATGTAATTTCTTGTATTTTCTATACTATATCAGAGGTCAAGTACATGAATGGATGGATCGACATAAAACAAGGAAACAAGGAATCAAAGCATAACAATAGTGGGCAACGGATTAAGATGACATTATGCACTAGGAACATATGACCACGTAAAGAACGAATGGCTGCCCAAATTTTATAAGATTTTAGATTCAGTTCGATGGTTCTGCGCCGTTTCGTGTGTCAAGAATACCTCTCCATACTCGTACAATAATCATGAGAAAAAGACGCCATTAGCACCCACCTTCAATGGCGCTAATGGCATCTCTTGGATAGAGAACACAAAGGAAATGTAAAAAAGAGCTCTCCAGTATCAGAGTATACTGAGGCTACATGTATGCTGGTTCAGTTTCCAGCAGCTTGGCAGCGGTTGAAGTCTCTAGTGGCGAATGAAGCGTAACAATTCATGCTACTTTCGTCACAGGATGTGCGACTATTGCCGTAGCGTTGGAAACGCCCATGCCCCAAGCGAATTTATGCAAACGCTCCGACAATAGACATGCCAGCTGCTCCCATGAGAACGTAGATGAAAGCTGTTGTCTTGGTCTTTCCAGTCATGGTATGGGATGCCTCCTCGGACAAGAAATCCTCTGCCAACAGATCGACAAGCGCAGCGTAGATGAGAAGACCCGAGGAGATGGCATTGAAGACACCCACAATGATGAGTCCAAAGGCCGAGTTGGGGTCATAGGATCCTCGGGTGAAGAGACCAATAGCCTGGCCAATGGGGGCGGTAGTACCAAAAGCAACAACGAGTGCCCATGGCTTCCAGCTGTTCTTGGGGTAGGGGACATCGGCGATACGCGTTCCAAGACCGAGACCCTCAAACATTTGGTGGAAAACAATGGCGATGAGCAGGATGATGAAACCCTCGGCAGTGATGGAGATGGTCATGCCGACGAAGACGGAGTGGAAAAGAATACCACCCTCAATAAGCGTAATTTGCATGGACTGCTTCTTGAGGACCATCGGGTCAACAGCTTGCTCGACGTCGTCGTCAAAGTACGAGTTGGTCTGTTGTGCTTGGGCTGCTTGTTGTTGCTGGTAGTTGGGCATGGCGGGCATGGCACGGTTGATGGTCGCGAGCATCTCGTCGCGCTGGCGCACGTATTGCTCATAGAAGACGATGAACCACGGTGGCATCTCAGACTTGGCGTCAAGCTCGTCACTGCCATTCTTGGGGAATGGGAAGTTGTCGACTGGGTAGGTGTTTTCCTCGGCCCATCCACGCTTCTCGTTTTGCTGGGCCATGGTCCTCTGGGAATCGTAGCTCTCGACGCGGCGAATGGGGTTGTTGAAGTTGGCCTGGACTCCGGCGGCAGCGCCATGTCCTGCGTTGAAAGCCTCGCCCGTTGCGCCACCGTGGCTGTGACCACCTGTCTTCTCGTGCAGCCACATCTCAACGACAAAGAGAACAAAGAGCGAACCCATCATGATTACACCTGGCAGGGCAGGGTAGTCGTCGGTGAAAAGATCGGGCAAGCATGGGTCATTGAGCGATGCAAAGGCAGTAGGCAAAAGCTAAGCAGTGTTAGTCAGGTTGACTAAACTTTCTTTGTGAGTGACATGTACTGACATGAACGAAAGCAGTTGCAATCAAAACACCAGTACCAAAGTGCTTGCAGAAGAAGAAGATTGGAGGAGGAATCTTCATCCACTTGATCTTCTTGGCCACGACTGGGAAGCCGGCACCAAAGATGGAAGCAAAGAAGACAATGACTGACTAAGTGTTAGACGGGAGTTTGGATGACGCAATTCTGGCACTTACAAACTGCAGCCACGTGCAGGGGAAAGTCGTAGACAGCAGCATCGGCCTCACTGCCGCACTGGGGCTTTTCGTCGGCCATGGTAATGATTATGAAGGGGATAAAAATGTAGCACAAGAAATGAGTGCGGTAATTCCGGACTTGCCAGCAGTCTCGTCGCCGGCGACGATGGACGAAGAGAAGGTGAGAAGTGAAAAAAAAGAGGAGAAAAGAAAGGAATCCGACACACACTCTTTCAAAGAGTAAACTAAAGCCAAAAGCCAACGAACTGAAGTTGAAGGTATGGAACTTAAAAGCTCGGCATGGCAGACTATGTATTGCTTTAAACCTGGCATAGCATGAGAGACACTAACCGCATCACGTTGATCACAAAGGTCCTAGAACGAATAGGGTTGCCCAAGACGGTGGAACCTCGACACATTGGCCTGTGCCTCAGATGCCGCTTGAGTGACGGGTGCTACGCGCAGAGGACGGAGGTCCAGACGGTGCCAGGAGCGACCAGCATTGCGCCGACTAAACACAAGCAATTGGACAAGGCCGCAAGGCTGTAATCGGACTGGTGGTTCGCCGAGCCCAAGAAGCTCATGGAGACATCTGTCATGCTATTGGGGACTTGGCAAGGTCCGGGCGATCTTGGAGGGGTGGAGGTGTGATGCGGCTCAAGTCTCGTTTCCACCGAGTGGGACAAGCGGCGACGTGTGGAGGTGCAAAGCATTCAGGGTGAGGCTTGGATGGGATTTTCTGGAGCAGTTGGGGTTCGAAGAGGCTCGATGCTGAAATTAGCAGGCCAATGAGACGTTTTGGGACAGCGTTTACGCGTATAGCCAAGCACGGGTGGATTTAGTACCGTTCGGGCACTCGCTTGGCAATGTCGTGACTTTGCAGTTTTGAAACCTGGGGAGAAGTAGACAAGAACAGTGGAGGTTGGAAGTGGTCCCTTTGTGGAACTTGGTGTAGCCGGTGGGATCCTTCCGTGACGATCGCTGCTTTGCACTAAGCCACTTTCGGCTCTTGAGACACGTTTGGCCGTTGGAGGGGAAGATTTAGCCGCGACTTTGTAACTTCAGCCATCCCAGCCAAGACGAGATGAATGTCCACACTGTGAGCTTGTCCACGCAGTGAGCTCCATCAAAAGTCCACTTCTTTCGAAGCGATCGATGCGGGGGAATAAGAGGGTTTTTTTTCTTTCTCCTTAACCTAAAGACCACCAAGCCTTGCTTGGGTTCTCGGCAATTCACCTCCCCCCTCCCTCCCCCAGACCGCCTGACCATGATCCGGTGAGAGGGGCCCTGTAGACTCAACAACAATGTCTATACAATCCTTCTCTATACCTTCTATGCCTGTAGGGTGCCAAGTGTAATGGAGTATCAAGATTAGGCCAAGCCCATGGATACTTGCCCAAAGCGGTATTATAGCTGACCTAAGGCGTGCTAGTAAGCGTTGTGAATGCTTAGCGGGTTTCAGGCTCCGCGTCCACATGCTCACACGTGCGCCTCCAACCTGCACCTTCGCACAATCTTGCACCCTCCAAACAATCCGGCCATGTCATAATGACTCCAGACTGGGTGCAAAAAAATTTAGACGGAGGCGAGCGGGAGGAACGCCGCTGGTGGCGTTTATCGTCGTGTTTATTACAGAGCCTGCTTGCCCGGTTCTGAGGCGTACATACCTTTTTCGTAGCCCATTCACGCAATACATCCTGGCGATCGCTCATACACTCACGTACGCGTCCCTCAGACCAGATTTCCGGAAAACATGTCTCCTGAGTCCCATAGTATGTATCAGCCGTCTGGAGTAGCGCTTCTGTGTCTGATAGTCCCAGCTTCACCTGACCGCCCATCCCCGGGCCAAGGTCCCGAGCAAACAAACGTTCCAGCCAATGCTGGTCAAGTCTTGTCTGCAGACCAACCGGCTGTCGCCCAGCCTAGGACAGATGCCATCGAAGAGCTGTCGTCTAGAGACAGTGTCTCTTCCAACGATGCCAAGCACACTGCCGCCGTCACTGTCAACAGCGACCCGCTTGATCTGGGTAGACATCGCCGAGAAGATGTGACACAGAAGCAGATGAAGGCAGAACATCCGTTGGCTAAGCCCAGGCACATGAAGAAGTTTTATACGCGCCAAAACGCCCTCATTGACCAGTTTCTCCAAAGCGGTGACGAAGAGCGCTTGGCTGCTCTCGACCAGCTCGAAAATGGCCCCAAGGTGCGATTCGCCGTAAACGCCTCCTTCGTAGTCAACTTTTGTCTATTCGTTATCCAGCTGTATGCGGCCATTTCCACAGGCTCGCTTTCGCTGTTCGCAACTGCAGCAGACGCCTTCATGGACCTGGTATCTTCAGTTGTCATGCTCATCACATCCCGTATGGCAGCAAGGCCTAGTGTGTACAAGTATCCTGTTGGACGGACGCGCATTGAAACAATTGGCATTATCATGTTTTGTTGTTTGATGACGACTGTGGCCATCCAGTTGATTGTAAGTATCTCCCAATGCCAAGATCAAGCAATTGCTGACAGTCGACAAGATCGAATCCGGCAGAGCTCTGGGTGGTGGTGAAACCGACTCGGAGGAGCTTCACATCATTCCTATTGCCTTTGTTGCTACTGCTATTTTCTGCAAAGGCTCCCTCTGCATCTACTGTTTCATCTATCGTCGCTACCCTGCCGTCCATGTCTTTTTTATCGACCACCGTAACGACATCGTTGTCAACGCCTTTGGTCTCGCCATGTCCATTGTCGGTAGCCGCGTCGTCTGGTATGTCGATCCTATCGGTGCCATCCTTATCGGTCTCTTGATCCTCTTCTCGTGGGCCGCAAACGCTTTCGACCACGTCTGGCTGCTTGTCGGAAAGTCGGCCCCCAAGGACTTTATCAGCAAGCTCATCTACCTTGTCGTCACGCACGATACGCGCATCCAAAAGGTCGACACCTGCCGTGCGTACCACGCTGGACAAAAGTACTATGTGGAAGTCGACATTGTCATGAGCGAGGACCAGCCCCTCAAAATCACGCACGACGTCTCTCAGACCCTGCAGCGAAAGCTTGAAGGTAAGCCGTTGCAATCACGTGCCCGCGTTGAAACGATTACTAACTTTCCAAACAGGTCTTGCAGACGTCGAGCGCGCCTACGTCCACGTCGATTACGAGAGCGAGCACGATATTTTCGAGGAGCACAAACCCCTTTACGAAGTCACCCAGTCACGCACCATCAAAGAGCGCGTAAAAGCCATGCGCTTCCTCTTCAAGAAACAGGACAAAGACGCCTGAAAGGCGCAATCACATAATCTAATGTCTTGTTCCATGGCCTAACCATATTTTGTACATTGTAGTGCTGTTGCACTAGACAACCAAGGCCATGTCTTTTCATTTTGTCATATTTATACCCAGCTTTCAGCAGCTAAGAGAAATATATAGCTGCGATTTTGTTATAGTTAGATAGAAACCCTTTGGGTCATTTCTTCCCACGTTGTCACATGAGGGAGGCTACAAATGCATTCTGAGCCGCGCCTATTGGTTCTGGTTTTCCGGCAGATATCCTTATCTTGCGTTGAGCTATCCTCTATTTGTCTGCTCTGATATTGTATCTTATCGCACACTGCCGATATGGCAAGGGGTTGTGGCGCACAACAAGGCTGAGCATAGCCACGCGCCTAGTCCTGTTGCATGCATGCATTTAGCCAAACCCATGTCTGCTCCGCCAGAGTCGTTCAGCTGCAGCCAGCTCTTTAGGTCATTTACTTGGCTGTCCACTGTGCGTTGTTCGCAGTGCATATCCATCATGCAGGCTGTGCCACACAGGCAGAAGCTGCTGCAGCAGTGCAGCTGAAGCCAACTGACCGTCAGGCTACCCCGCAGCCTTCCTCTCGCAATCGTAAAACAAGCACAGAACGACCAAATTTTTCTCAATTTTTCTTTCAACCTCCTAGCTTATGGTGTTGATTTCACGATTTTAAATATACAATGGGAAAGCGAGACCGTATACGCGGATGGCTAGCACCAGTCGCTACCAGAAGCCGTCCAGCCTCACCCGGCTCGACACCTTCACCTGCACAACCAATATCACCTCTTCCTCCATCTTCTCCCGCTCCGAGTTCAATTGCGCCCACTCTAGTCACACCAGAGCCAGTGAAGCCGCGAAATCAAGCGCTCGAGAGGGCGGTTGAGCGGCAACTGCAAAATATCCCTGAGGCTGGGCGTGTAGCATTCGAGAAAGAGATCAAGGCACTTGATGAAAGATCTCTACTATTCAAAGTACAGGCGTACGATGAGGAGCACAAGAATGAGTCTTCCTTCAGGCCTCACGCCGAGCGCTTAACCAAAGGTCTTGACCTGATCAGCAGGCTTATGAGGGGCGTCGCTATAGGCATCCAGGCCGACCCTGCCATATCCTCCCCTGTGGTTGGTGTACTCCGGGTGATTATTGATATTGGCTTGGAATTCTCAAAGTTCTTCACCAGATTGACTGATATGATCTGCGAGTTTGAAGATTATCTCGGGCCACTGTCTGAACATTCTCAGGCAGCTGACATTGAGCTTATAGAGAGTGCAGTTGTCAGTGTGTATACAAACATGCTCGATTTTGGTTGGAAAGCGCGATCTGTTTTCGTTGATTCAAATGGAAAACGAAGGAGGTTCACCTCGTTTAGGGCATTCAAACGACAGCATTGGGACACGTTTGAGACCGAATTCATGTCTATGAAACAGCAGATGCAACACCACCTTCATGTTCTTCAGCATACTGTACAGGCAATACACTTCAATCATACCCGGATTACCGCACAAAGTAGGTCTGGCCCCTGTCTGTTGCTAGTGACAGGTTCTAAAAACCCATCGTTTTAGGGACGGAAAGAATGGCATTTCTATCATGGGTCTCAGACGTCGACTTTGAAGAGGTGCATCAGAGTACCTATGCTAAAAAGCAAAGAGGGACAGGCGACTGGCTGACACGAGAGCCCCGGTTTCAAGAATGGATGCAAAGCTCGCATTCATCTCTATTGTGGTGCAATGGAAAGCGTGAGTGGGAGTGTATCCTTTACTAATCAGAATGTACTGATCCTCTACAGCTGGTATCGGGAAGTCTGTGCTCAGGTAAGTTCGCAACCCCACCATCAAATGCTGGTTCTTTTGCTGATTGAACGCATAGTTCTCATGTCTTAGAACACATCACAGCTGAATCTGAGTTGCGAGAAAAAACTGCCATTTGCTTCGCCTACTACAATTACCGTGATACACGATTGGCAAACATTACCACGATCATAGCCACACTGATCAAGCAACTCTGCCAAGGCATGCCAGATATACCAGACAATCTTCTCGAAGTCATGCGCAACGCTCGCTCTCCTTCTCTGCTAGGTTCAAAAGAATATTTCTTCTCCCTTACGGAGAACTTTTCAGAAGTCTTCGTCGTTTTCGATGCTCTCGATGAGTGTCCAGAAGAGAGACGGGAGGATATTCTCGGCTTCATCACCGAGGTGGTAACTATGCCGGCTCCGCATTGTATAAAGGTATTTGCCACGAGTCGAAGAGAGATGGACATTACAACAGCCTTTGAGAAGGAGCATATCCCAATGATCCAAATCTCGGCTCGCAGTGTTGCGGCCGATATTGAGACCTTTGCCCGTAACAGAGTCGAAGAGCTTCGATCTGGGCAGCATGGAAAGACCCTCTACATTTCCAGTGATGGTGTCAAGGAAGAAATTATTTCGATACTCGCTCAAAAGGCCGAAGGAATGTGAGTTTTTGTTAAGCAGCCAGACCAAAGGCTTCTGTATGCTAAACGTATAACAGGTTTCTTTGGGTCAACCTTCAACTTGAAAATCTCTGCCAAGCTAGCAAGGCTCGAAACGATGAGGTGGTGAAGGAAGCACTGAATACATTACCCCGGAACTTGCCAGACACCTATATTCGAATTCTAGACCGGATTGAAACCCAATATCCATACATGAGAGATCTGGCAATCAGATGTCTGTCCTGGTTACTCCATGCTCAGAGGCCTCTCAGAACCCAAGAACTACAAACCGCTCTTGCAATCAATTCGGAATGTAAAACTCAAGAAGATCTTCGACCCATCTCCATAAAAGTCATTCTTGAAGCTTGCGGCAATCTACTAGAAGAAGCCAATGGAGTGATCCGACCTATCCACTACACAGTGCAGGAGTTCCTGACGGCTGCTGCTCACGGGAAACCACAACATGCGATACGAAGACAGCTTCTAGACTCGAAATCTGTGCACAAAGCTTTGAGTCTGGATTGTCTTATGTACATTAACCTAATGTCGTTTAGCGAGCCAACTGATGACAAATGGGACTTGTTCAAACGAGTGAAAAAACATGATCTCGCTATATATGCATATACGAGCTTCGACTACCATCTCTTGAATTGTGGTGAGCCTTCTCCCGATGCTATGAATAAAATGGAGAGACTTTTCCAGCAGGACAGTACATATCTTGCAGCGTTGTTACAGATAACACTCCTACCGCATGTCAATATTTCCGAGATCCTTATGAACAGGTTTAACAGTATAGATTTTCTGGTAACCCCTGCCACAATCATACATAGCACCAGGCTCTACAACGTTCCCGCAATCAGACAACGATGGGTGGGCCAAACACCACCCATATATGCTTTGCACCTTGCGGCCTCTGCAGGACTAGTCGATGCAATCTGGCAGCTTCTAGGAGATGGAGTTGATATTAACGAGAAAGACGGGGCTGAGTGTACCTCAATATATTACGCATGCCAAAATGGCCATCTGGATGTTGCTCAGATACTCGTCAGAAAAGGCGCAGATATCGATGCACGAGGCGGTGAATTCGGCAATGCACTACAAGTAGCGTCATTCCAAGAGGATACTCAGTTAGTCAAATTGCTGCTTAGCAGCAATGCTGATGTTAATGCACCCCCAGGTGGGAAATTTGGCAGCGCGCTACAAGCAGCTTCATACGGGGGCCACGAGCAGATAGTCCAGATGCTACT